GGGTGTGGATTTGGCTAAAGTTTCCTCCTGCCAGACCCAGGTAGATGCCCTAAGTGCTCAGCCTACCACCGTGGGCCCGACCTGTGGTGAAGATACGGTAAGTCCTATGCCTTCCGACGCTTGTAATTAGGATGGTGTGTTGAATGTGGCTCAGGGCGAAATGGGACAAACTAGTAGCGAAGATGATACACCACAGGAGATGCGATCTAAGGACTACGCTACCACAACACCAGCACCAGCACCAGCACCAGCACCAGCACCAGCACCAGCACCACCGACGATGGTGACAACGATGACGCCGACGTTAACGACAGCATCCATGACAAGGCAGCTGCATCGTAGCAACGTCGAGGCTGTATCAGAGCGTCGTCTGCAGCACGTCACGGGGGTTAATCCCAGCCTTATAACACGGCTACAGCGCACGGCCGACAACGAGATGAGTTACAGCCTTCTAGATGGAACTTACGATTTGGATCTTCCTGGTGACACTGAGGGATCCGAATCTAACCAGGGGCCAGCCCTGCAGCAGCGCGCTACCCTGCCTATCTCAACCGTCCTTCCTCCCAGTTCATCGGCGGCGGAAATCCCAACACCGCAGGTAGACCATGATGATCCCCTGTGCCACGTTGTCCAGGTTGAAGAGTTTGCAGGAATGTCCCTGATGACAAGCTTTCAACCTGACCTCAAGCTTTTTGTCTGCGAGCGATGTCGGTTTGCGGTCTGGGCAGATCATCTCTCAGGACACATATTTAATAACCATAGATCGCTTCTCCCGCAATCCATCAAACGATCACTGGTTGAGGCCGCGGTGACTCAAGCATGCGACAGACTTCAGGCCGCGCTGTCAAATCAGCAGAAAGTAGTCCTACCACAGCGCCTTCTCCCTCCACTACCTTGGCTGCTTGAGCCTGTACAAGGCTACCGATGCCGCCATTGCCCTTACGTTGCTGCGGCCCTTGGGACGATTTTAACTCATAGCAAGAGGTCACATCCTGGTAAGGGGCATTGCGTTAGTAAGCACGACCAATGTGTTTTGGTGCAGCGTCTCTTTTCCAAGGCACAGTTCTTCGTCGTGCATGTCATGCTGCAGAGCGTCGGCCCAGACCATCTCTTTACCAAGTTCTACTCAACACTGCCAGCCCGGTACATTGATGGCGCTTTTATAGACGGAGCTATGTCGAAAACATCAGATCCTGGTGACCTATCACCATTTTTGACCGCTGCTGGATGGGCTCAGGCAACCGAAGGATACTCCCCGCCTGGATTACGTGCTATGTCAAACCCAAAGGTCGAAATACCGGACATCCATGACCTGGTTCGCATAAAGGGGTTGGGCAAGGCATATCTTTCCACCATCTCCTCCACTTCAGATATGGAACCTACTCTATTGGATGCTCTCACCAGCTGGCGGCCTCGATAGTAAGATTTTAGGCTAGCTATACAGTATCCAGAATTGCTAACAGGATGTGAAGTCGCCCATTCCAGATTTTGCAGGAAAAAGATTCTGTTGAGACTTATGGGCTCCATTGTGATCGGCTGGTCATGATGATCTTGCGTGCTGTGTCCTCTCAATCTGCATCCATAGGGGGGACTGTGGATAGGTCTGATGCCACAGTCGCTCACCCAATAAATGAAGATGTTGAGGAAGAGGTAGACGATGACGGCGAGGACGATGATGACGTCATGCACCCCCCTCAGGATTGGATGGATATGGACTTTGTTGATGAGGTAGATGAGGATATCTTATGGCCGGAAGGCGATACATCTGTGGAAGAAGAGGCCCCTGAGGAGCCGTTAGACCTGGATTTATCGGACGATCAGGCTGCCTATCCCATAGTATTGAACGGTGTCCAGATTCAGCATGCTAAGGCGCTGAGGGAGCGCTGTACCGATCCGAGTTCGTCGGAAGCTTGGCTTATGGATGCCTATCATTCTGTCGTTCTTTCCGTCTTCACAACCAACACCAACCATGACTTACACGGTCCTCTTCACTCTTTGATAGACTCCTTCATCATGTCTACCAGCATTGATGCGCAAGGACGTTTTGTTCCGCCGCATCTCATTTCCAGTCACCTGGCAAAGTTAATCTACGCTGCTATGTTTTCCATCCTGACTGAGGTCATGAAAACCTCCGACCCATACCAGTAGGGTTTATTTCCATCTTACATGATCGATTGCTGAATATTTCATACACGTAGAACATTCATGAGTTCCATGAAGCAGTGGATGGAGCCTGGCATGCGAACCCCGTTTTGCTCCGTCCGACGATATTCACGCCTGTGCTATGCCCTATGCAGAGGTCATATTGCTCTCCCACGACTTCAGTTTACCACATTTGATGGCCCTGACTTCACATTTGATGGGAAACACCTCTCCGTCACCTCCATGACCAGCATGTATCACAGCGTCTACAGAGAGATGACTCGCATACTGGATCGGGACCTTCTCTTTGGCGCCGGTGATGCTGTACTGCAGCATCTCAAGAATCCGGAAGACGTCGTAGATCACCCTCACGAGCATGTCATTGGCCGTGGGGTCCTGGTTTCAGAGATGCAGGCCGCCTGGAATCCGGTGAAGTTTATGATGGACGACGAAAAGCTTTGCAAAAAGTACTTTAGTATTGATTCAAGTGGAAATCCTTTGCCGCGCAAGGGGGCATGGGAGGAATACCTATGGCAGGTAGAAGAGTTCAAGGAGCACCTTTACTTCCTATTGCATCAAATACCAGGGATGCCAAAGCGAGGTTCAGAAGAAATTCGCGCTAAGATTGTCGATACCAGCTTTCGAGGGCGAAACATCATGTATCTTTTTCATCGCCTCGCGTGCATTGGAGATTATAGCAAGTCTTCTCGGAACTCAGGTAACGACAAATTGACGTTGCATTTTTTTGCTCGTCCTTTAGAAGCCGTCCTGAGGCGTTTTCAAGCATCTGTTGCTAGCATCAGCGCTTGGGCTATCGATCGAGTTCTTGCTCCCGAGGATGTCGACCCTCATCATCACTGCTACCTATTATCCAGCATGGGCCAGCGATGGACATCGGAACGACTTTCGCGCATACTCCAGAAGTTGACTGCCAAACACCTTCCTGGAAAAATCAGCCTCAACATGAGCTCGTTGAGACATATTCTACCTGGTATTGCGGAACATTATCAAATTTCTAACATTCTGTCGCCCAGAAATGATGATGTCTTACATGCTCAGCTTGGTCACAGTCAAGAGACCGGCGATCGCATGTATGCCCGAGCACACCAAGATCACCCTCGGCTCACCAACTCAATGGCTCACCGAACTATGTCATTTTGCGACCTTTGGCAGGAACTACTGGGCTTTGGAGGGGACGTCCCTGATGAAAAAGCGGCCCTTTCCCTCCAGGCATCGTACGCCCAACAACGGTCTTCCTCTAGGAAGACCCTGTCAGTGTTGTGGAAGACCCCTCCCGCAGTCACCATTTCTGACCCGCTATCTCTGGATGGCTATCACAATTTTGAGGATCGTCTTTGTAGCATGGAGCGCTCCTTGGCCAAGCTGAACTACACCATATCATCAATCGCCCAAGCATTACTGCCGTCAATAGCTGCTCCTCCGGAGGTCCTACCTCGACTGCGGCAACCTTTAAAGGAACAGGACCAGGCAGAAGAACGCCCTTTGAAAAGGACGAGAGTCATTGCCTCAGCAGGCGATCTGGATGACTTGGACAGCCAAGAAGATATTGCTGGTCTGACATTCCACTCAGATAAAGGACTTTCTGAAGAACGTCCCTTGAAAAGGATGAAAATCGTTGCCTCAACAGGCGCTATGGGGGGCTCTGGTGACCAAGAAGATGTTTCTAGTTTGGCTTTCCAGGACGATGGTAAGCCTGCCAATTCGAAGGTATCCTACACTCTTCTCCACATATTATACCGTCCCACTGACATCAATTTATGTATGTCTCTCTTCACCAGGCGCGCCAAGCCAACGTCCGTCGAGTACACTGCCCAAAGTGTGATGTCGACATTTTTGGATCCGATTCTGAGCGACGCGCTCATTTCATGAACGCAAAGTCACTGGAAAGCAGCTCTAGTGATAACTATTGGCACATCTTCAGCTTCACTGCTACTGAAGCGCCGGTAGGGCGTGGCATTCGAATATACCGTGAACCGGACTTCAAGTTTGCTTGCCCTTGTGGGGAATTTTCGCATTACGATAGGGTGGGTGTGGAGGCTCACCTTGCCTCGGTCGATCCTGGTGACCAGGAGGCGATGATGAAGCATACGAAGGCCAGAAACAGGCCAGGGTGGTCGCGAGGGAAGGCGACGGACAAGCTCACTGTGTCTATACATTAAACTTGTACAATGCATGTGATTTAGCCACCACCATGCTGTCATTACCACAGGTTTCTACTTTGTTCCTACAGTCCCGAGAACCCACGCTCAATGTAGAGATGAATTTTGATGTTCAAATTGGCTTCACATAATTAAGTAAACCCCGTTCTACAAGATAATAAACCATTCCAGCTTTTAATCGCATCCAAATGCTCCTATGTCTGCGGTTGAGGAAATGTCTAGTTTCGTGAGCAGAAAGTATCAGAGGAAATTCCTCATATACGTCATATTACTATGGCCTGAAAGAATAAATATTGACGGAATGAACAAGAGCTGATTGCGCACCTGTATTTACATTAATTCAAGGGAAAGATCCACGTCATTGAAAATTTCCCAATAGTCGGTCAAGCAAGCCATATCTCGAGCGGAGGGTGCTTTAGCTAGAGTTAGAAGAGAAGTACACGCACAATTCAGTCGATAATCAGTGCTGTTTTGCATGCTACTTTGTCTCAGACGTGGCAATTTCAGAGCGTAGGCTGTCGGTGATTGGTCTAGACCAGTCCATCAGTCACCAGTTAGCATGTCACCAGTTTATTTGTCACATAGCCCCTGCAGAGGTCATCCTGCTACCTCTACTTCTTGGGAGTACGTGCTTTAACCTTTGCGCGAGCTACTTCCCTCGCAGTCCGCATTATTAGCATGTTGTCCGATATGAGAGGGTACAAAGGGTGGAACGGCCTCATTAACTTCCTGGCGCTACCTCTTTGCCTGGCGTTCAGGCACACCTCTCTCCTTCTTCCTCTGGTTCTAGAGGCAGTAAGGATTGTCCCACGACGACTCGTCTATATTTGCGGGGATTAAACCACTTTCCTCCAGCTTCTTGCCTAGAATCACTACGTAAGGGAGCAACCCATCTGGTGGCCTCGAGCCCCACGAGCTCAGCCAAGGTAAGTGGAAAGCTCTTGATGCGCACGTCGGAGTTGCTTTTCAGCACTAGGTAACCTGAATACCGCTCTCCGCATCGTTGTTGAGAGTGACGGCGAACTTGTCATAGCCGATGTCAAAGTGGATGGTGGTGGGGTCAATGCCTCCTCGCAAGTCAGCGTCATGCTGAAGGTAGGAAAAATCTGACCCAGGGTGAGAGAAATGGTGGTTCCAGGACGGTACCTGTCAGGCATGGCAAAACGGGCGTTTCCCAAGGCTCCAAAGAGTGATACGGAGTTGGTGTGGACATGGTGGTGGTTCTATTGGCGAAGGGGAATGATGGGTGTTGGGGAGTGGAGGTTGAGGGTGAGTTGGGAGTGTGTGGAAACGCTGTATAGTCCAGCTCGTAGCCTAAACAGCCCCAAAACATCTGCAGGGTGTCATCTGCTATCACAGGGCGGAAGTTTTCCAGGAACGTCACCACAGTGATGGTGGGCACTTTGCTATCATGGCCGAGAATATCTGTAGTGAGTCTGCAGAGCCTTCGTTTCTCACGCTCTGTGCACACAATATACAGTAGGATAGACTCGGTCTTCCTGGTTTGGACCTCGGAGGAGTGTAGTAAAGTTTCCTTTCATCCATGACCGCAAACAATATTAATGCCAGATGAGGCAGACGAATATTCCATGAAAACGTTAGTAAATGGTAGTTTCTTTAACCAAAAACAGACGGCCCAGCATATTCCAAAGCCTCGTGCCCACCGTCCCTTATGCCCTTGCCCAGCTACCGCTATCACCATGCGTCGTCCAGTGGTCACTCAGCGTCAGGCCCCCCCTCCAGCGGACAACTTCAATCAATAAATGCTATCATCAGGACCATCAGATATGAATCAACCGGTAGGACTGACCACGATACAGCACCATGTATCGTTGCTCACTCCCAAGGCGCTGGTAGCCATTTTCAGCCAGATGCAGGGGTTTCTGCCTCCTCCCCCACCTCCTCTGCCAGTGCCGCCAGTGCCAGTAATCCAGCAAAACCTGGAACTTTTGTCGTCAATGCAATACCTTGCTCGAAGGATGGAAGGAATCGAAAAGGACGTGTCAACAAGCAAGCATCAGAATATTAATGAGGACCTTGCGACTGACGGAGATTTTTATGCTGAACAATAAAACCAGCCCTGTCCTCGATGGAAGCGCGGAAAAAAACAAGAAATCCCAGGAGCCCTTAAGGAGCCCGCATATATTCTGAATGTCACAAAGGCGAGGCTTGGTGCAGCACAACCGACTACTCGTCCGGAACTACAGATGCTGAACAGTGGTTGTCTCTTTTATTTGATCCACTGCATTAGGAGTGTTTGCACAAGAAAATTTACGATCTCACTGGACTTCATTGCAAGTGAGATTGGTAGTGATGGACGTGATGACGCGATGTCCGATCCACCAAAGATGATGTTCTACTTCCAGGCGTGTACCTACTGGTTTAATGCAGGTCTCGAATATTTCGAAGAACTGGACGTGATTCGATATGAGCAGCGCAAGGAATGCAAACGAACAACGGCACTCACCAGACGTGTTAACCTCAACAACACCAACAACATCCCACCATCGATTCCAACCTTCCCGTTTATGCTTGATTCCAACTGGCACGACTCTTACCAAGCTGAAAATCCTCATGCACTGATTGAGATGTACGAACAAGACCCTCGAGGCTTCAAAAAGCCAGAATATCAGCATGAAGACAATCCGACCCAAGGCAACAGCGAGAAGGCCAGAAAAAATAGTAGCACTGACAGTCATGATGCAAATGGCGATAGCGATGGTACCGATGATGGCTTGAATAGTGATGACTGATTACTTCAAAAACTCGGATCCATTTCTTGGTGCATGAAGGTAGAAGGGGATGCATGCTGTTGTTCGGAGCAAAGATTATGAATATGTACTAATTAGAAGGCTTGCACTTCCTGCGCAACAAAGTTAATCGCTATCTATATGTGCGAGTGTTTGAGACTTACTCGACTAAGTCCAACAGTAGCCCACACATCAATTGTCCTATCTTATCATCCTTCATATTTAACGTTAGACGACATGCCTGTGCGACGATAATATCTGCTGAAATCAACTGAGGAGGTCCTTCTATAGCAGGATCAAAAAAGATCTCGTGCTTCCAGAGAGAAACTTCAAGTTCAGGGCTATAAAACGCGTCTATTGGTGGACTAATTCTATGAAAACGATACTTACTATTGAACCCAGTGGCATAAATTGTTGGGATCCGACGAATCCGAAGGAGACAAGGCCGAAAGGATGAGAGCCGAGAGGGAGAGGCAGCAACCGGCCGAAGCGTAGAGCCAAGGGAGAGGACACCAAGTGCGAGCGCATCCAAACGGAGAATGAGGTCGACGTGTCGTGGCCAACTCGTGCGCTGTCCATCTTTTAGTTTAGCTTAGCGTAAATGACTGTACCTGGGAGACTCACCTTATAAGCCCAGGTACCCGCATCCAAACATCTCAGTTTCAACTCGAATACTGAGATGTAAGTTAGTATTTTCGTAACGTTCGACTCGAGGTCTAACGTTATATTAGATTCGTACCTTTGTGTCTAGGTACAACGTTTGTTAATCGGAGTTTCAACTCGAATACTGAGATATTCGTACCTTTGTGTCTAGCTGCGCGTGACCGTCTCGCTATACTCTCAATATAAATTTCAAGTTTTCTGCGAAACCACTTTACATCCAATAGAACAGGTTGTTGTTCAATTCTACGCTGGCAGTGTGAAATGATTGTGAATACTTGCCCCACATGACGTGTGTCATTGACTCTTGAGGTCCACTTGGATGATAAAGTTCAAGGCTTTGACAGGTGAAGAAGAAGAGGCAACTTGATCAGGAAAAGTGCAGAGCGACCTTGTTGACCTGAATGACCTGATTTCAGACCATCCAGGCTAGCAGGCGGCGTACTTCACAAGCGGCGCAAGAACACATGTTCCGAGACCTAGACCCAGACAGCTATGATATCGCATGCATTCAGGAACCCTACATCAATCCCGTCAACCTCGCCCCAGGAAACTCACGCTGGGAAGCTATATACCCATCATGTCACGGCAGCAACGGCGCCCAACCATCACGCTCAAAGAAGATCTCGAAGAACAGCTGGCGCATCATTCCTTTCGACCATGCTGACGTCACAGTCATTGAACTCTCAGGCCCATTCGGCAAAATCTTATTGTACAACATATACAACTCCCAGCGAAACTCTAGAACCCTCGAAGCACTTGAGGCGCACGTCGACAAGCACACGCGAGAACATGACGCAGCACGTGCAGCCAATGAAACCCCCATCCAGCTCATCTGGCTCGGAGACTTCAACCGTCACGACCCACTCTGGGAACCGCTAACGAACATCCAACTGTTCACGGGGCCTCACCTCACAGCTGCAGCCATCCTACTCAACCTGCTAACGAAGTATAATCTGTCCATGGTACTAGAAGCGGGCAAACCCACGCTTGAGTCCACCAATACCAAAAGCCGCACTAGGCCGGACAATGTCTTCTGCAGCGCAGAGATGCTAACGGCATTCATCTACTGTGACGTCGAGGAAGATCTTCGCCCTGTCAATACTGACCATTTCCCCATTATCAGTATCCTTAACCTCTCAGTAGACCAGAACCCTCCCACGCAACGCTGGAACTTCCGCAAAACTGAATGGCCAGCCTTTCGTGAAGCCCTTGAAGAGGAGCTAGGGAAGATCCCACCCCCCAAAGAAATCCAATCGGCGGACGAGTTCTACACCCGACTTAGACAGATCCAACAGATTCTGATCCAAGTAGTCGAAAACAAGGTGCCCAAGACTCACCCTTCCCCATTCGCCAAACGCCGGTGGACTGCAGAACTCAACGTCAACAACAAGAAGCTCAGGAAGCTCGCAAGATCAGCAAAGCGAAAGCTATCCACCCCAGAGGACCCCATCCATGAAACCTACCGAACCGCCCGCAACAACTTCGCCGAACAGATCAAGAAAGCGAAGTTAGACCACTGGAAGGAATTCCTGGAATCAATTGACGGCAGCAATATCTGGACAGCCCACCACTACCTGGTGGACGAACCATCTGATCACTTCCGCTCCCGCATCCCAACCCTCAGGGCCACAGTGGGCGCCACAGGGATCGACGATAACGCAGGAAAAAGCAAGCTATTATACCGAACGTTCTTCCGTCAGCAACCAGAACAGGACCACGTCCCAGAAAACTTCGCTTATCCAGATCCAGTCTGTGCCTTCACTAACATTACTGACGAGCAGGTACTCAGGGCAATCAGTAGACTAGCAGCACACAAGGCGCCCGGCCCAAATGGCGTTAGCAATGCAGTCTTCACCAACACGAAGGAACTCATCGCCCCACACCTGGGCCCCATCTTCCGCGCCACCTTCAACCTAGGCATTTACCCCGAAGACTGGAAACACTCGACCACCATTGTCCTTCGCAAGCCGGGAAGATCAGACTATACCCTCCCCAAGTCATATCGTCCCATAACTCTCCTCGACACACTTGCAAAGATCCTCTCATCCTGTGTCGCTGAAGATCTCGTCTTTATCGCAGAAGAACACAACATGCTCCCCGCGACCCACTTCGGAGGTAGACCAGGCCGTTCAACAGTAGACTCACTGCATCTTCTCACCAAATTCACTATGGACTCATGGGCAAAACCTACTGACAAATATGTTTCTATGCTTTTTCTAGATGTCAAAGCGGCTTTTCCAAGCGTCGTAGTCACACGTCTTCTCCACAACATGCGCAAGAGAGGAGTGCCGATAGAATATATAGAATGGCTAAAGCGTAGACTTGAACACCGAACCACGTCACTAGTTTTCGACGACTTCCAATCAGATACATTCAGAGTGGACAACGGAGTGGACCAAGGATGCCCGCTATCCGTCATCGAATTCCTATTCTATAACGCCGACCTCCTCGATATTGCCCGCCCCCAAGAGGGCTCGTTAACGCTGGGCTTTATCGATGACGTAGCATTGGTGGCAAGGGGGAAAAGTTTTGAGGAGGCAAACGAGAAGCTGAAAGACCTCATGGAGAGACCGGGAGGAGCCCTGGAATGGAGTGAGCAACAGAACGCAGAATTTGAGCTAGAGAACACCGCACTCATATGCGCCTCACGCACGCGGGTGCCAGATCCCTCAAGAAGGGGCCGCAAAATGCTGGCACCGCGAACACCCATCACCATCCGAGGACACCGCATTGAGCCCTCACCATCGCACAAATTCCTGGGGGTAATCATCGACCAAGAACTTCGCTTTAAGGAACACGCAGCCTACGCCCTAGCAAAGGGAACCAAGTATGTCCAAGCCTGCGGGAGAATGACAAGACCAGCGAAGGGAATCGGGGGGAAAATGATGAAGAAGTTGTACGAGGGAGTGGTCATCCCGAAAAGGCTATATGCAGCGGATGTATGGTGCGCCGGACTCATCAGGAGGAGTAGAGGACGAAAGAACAAGGGCAGAGGAGCAAGAGGATTCGCCACGAAGATGGCCAGGGTACAACGGATGGCCACTATTCTCATCACCGGCGGAATGAGAACAACTGCAACAGATATACTGGAAGCTCACGCTGATCTTCTTCCATTCCAGCAGACCCTCCGAAAACACTGCTTTCGCGCCGCCCTCAGAATGTCAACACTTTCAGCTGCACACCCGCTTCATAAGGAACTGATTTCAGCGAAACGAAACAGAAAGAGACATCGCGCACCACTCCACGAACTCCTTAACGAATTCAACCTCGACCCACGCCGCCTGGAGACCATCGACGCGACAAGACACAACCCAAAATGGACACCAGACACGACGATCGAGATAGCAGACAGCAAAGAGGAAGCAGCAATCGCGGACGCGGACGCAGAAGAAGAGGTCAGAATCTACACGGACGGATCTGCAATCGATGGAGGAGTAGGAGGAGCAGCAGTTTTGGTTAGAGAAGGACGAGAGAACAAGGTTCTGCATTTTCATCTAGGGTCAGACAAAGAGCACACCGTCTTCGAGGGAGAAATAGTGGGAATGATACTAGGAGCTGAGCTACTTAGGCGAGAAGGAAAGGTCGGTTAGTGGGTTAGTTAGGGTTAGTTAGGGTTAGTTAGGGTTAGTTAGGTTAGTTAGGGTTAGTTAGGGTTAGTTAGGGTTAGTTAGGGTTAGTTAGGGTTAGTTAGGGTTAGTTAGGGTTAGTTAGGGTTAGTTAGGGTTAGT